TTCACCATAAGCTGCAGAAGAGAAGATAAACTAGATGAATGCCTCCTTGAGAAATTTGAAAAAAAATTGGCTTGAAGATCGTAAAACATATTTAACACTTGCCCACATGCATGTGTTTCTGTCACAGTATTTAAATCATCCGTGTGTTTGACGTACTTGGTTTCCAGTCATACGCAGGCCACCCGCGAATTTCCTTGTTCTTGTTGTTCTCTTTCTCCAGCCACTCAATGAGGGGTTTGAAATATTGAATGAGTGGCTGGGCACTCATTTTGGGCTGGCCGGTGATCATGGTCATTGCTTCGGGCCAGGGCTTACTGAAGCCGAGCTTCATCACATCACTGCAAACAGCACCACAGGTTGGAGAGGAGGTCAGAGGAGATGAGGATCAGTAACTAGTGATAATTACACACATGACCTGAGGCATGCTGCTACAGATAATAAACACTGTTTTCCTAGTAATCTGACATAGGGTTTTTATGACTGTTACATACTGGATATTTTTTGTGCAAAGACTTTTGCCAGTGATTTCATGTCATTATCTGTTATGAGGGGATCCACCTAGGTGTGCACTGTAGGCATGTGTACTAACCCCAGTAGCTTCCCAGCTTCCTTCGATTCATAAATATCACAGGTATGAAGAGGCCCAACATGTTTGGCAGCTTCACAAAGAGCCTTGTGGAACTGAAACTGGATGATGAAGCTGACAAAGTACCTGATTGAAGATGATTAAACACATGCTGTTGAACATAGAAACAAGATGACTGTAAAAACATCAGTTTGTTAACTCTGACAGTTTTTGTTTTTACCCATGTGACTAAGTGCACAAAATGCACAATATATTTATCTTCTATCGGTTACCAGTACTCAGTTATTAGGTGCTTTGTTTGTTCTGTCAAATCAGGAAACATTACCTGACATAGGGTACATTAGCAGGGATGTGGAACTTTGCACCTGGGTCAAAGTCTTCTTCAGTTCGGGATACAGGTGGACACACTCCCTGGTACTTAAGTCTGCATGCAAAGATGAAGAAGAGTATCATCTGTTTCTTATTTAAGCAAATCATCAGTCAACCATACCAAATCAATCCACCATTCACACATTTACTTTCTGCTATTTAAAAATAAAGCTGAAATTTCCTGGATGATGAACACTGTGGTAATTGTAATTGTGCTTGAGAACTTTACCTGAGGTTCCACCATTCTTTATTGTATTCGGTCGGAGGGATGCGTCCATCAAATACCTTCCATCTCCACTGGTCCATCAGGTAGCCAAAAGGTAGGAAGGCGATCTTGTCAAGTGCAATGCTCATCAGGAAGTTGATATCACTTTCTAGAGGAGGGGCCAGAAATAGCAAAACCATGACCTGAGCACTGTGTTATACCAACACGTGCTTTTACAGAACTATATACTACTCATGGTCATGTCACTCACCATAGTTGTTCTCGACTTTGTCCAGGAGGCCAATGCTGTGCAGATGTTTGGGAGTGGAGACAGAAAGCGCTAGCACGTCACCGATGGCCTCATGGAAGCCAGGGTTGGCTCCATCACGGAAGGACACAGGTTGGTCTTTGTACTGCAGGAAGTACTGGACGTGGCCCATCTCATGATGCACAGTGATCAGGTCATCCATAGTTACAACAGTGCACTGCTTGATCCTAGAGGCACCACCAATGTCATAATTACAGCAAAGAACTCAGAAATCTTACATCTTTCTACTTCCATATGCATGATGATATTAAAACTGAAGCTATTTAATCATATAACTGGAAATCTGGATAAATATCAGTCCTAGATTTAAACCTAATGTGGAACGACTGGCACAAAAACTAAAGATAAAGATAGGTTTCTTTATAATGCAATGAAACATGTTTATCTTTTGAGCAATAGATGATCATGCTTGTGTTTGACAACAGACATTCTGTATTCACATGCTAGTTATTCCACTTTGATGCAGTTTACCATTGCACCCTGCTGACCACCACGTGATAAATGTGAACAATTTGATGCAGTTTACCATTGCATCCTGCTGACCACCACGTGATAAATGTGAAAAAGTAGGCCAGTCCTCTCCAGCAACAAAACAAGAATTACACACTAGACTACCTGTTTGAATAATGGTTATGTTAAGATTAAGTCCAAGCCAGACCACCAGGCTGTCAGAACATTGACAGCCTGTTAGGCTCTAAAAAAAAAAAAAGAACTAGACTAAAGAATTAACCTGAAGTCTTTTCGGTTATAGAAGTCCCATGCAGAGGCGTGGCACACCACCTGGCGCCCATCAGACGGCTTCTCCAGCATGGACTTCTTCCAGAACTCTTCTGGCATTGGTAGCAGGCCCAGGGAGGTAAAAAACCTGTCTGATTCATTAAACATTCTGATGGGATTCCAGCCCTGATTGGGAAAAGGAGAGCATAAGCAAAAATGTGGTTGTATATGTACATATATATATAAACAATTTGTTCAGGCAGTGAGACATTCGACGTGTTCAAAAAGCAAAAGCTACATTTGGAAAGTAAATGTTTGCATAAGGTGTAAACAAATTATGATTGTGAAAGGACAGGAGGTAACATACTTCATCAAAATTTGTGCAGCCATAAACACTTTGCTGCTGCTGCTTTTATTCAGCCCAGTTTAACACCTCTGTATTTATCCTTACTCTGCTTGATCCTCCACTTTGGCCCACTGTATATCCAGGTCTTATTTAGACTTAAATAAACTGATCATGACCTCTAGTATTGCAAGGCAAATGGTGGATCAAAGCATGAGTGTGTGAATGTGTGTCTTTTTGTGTGTGTCCTTGTGTATTCATGTGTGCAGCTGTGATCATTATGCAGCAGCTGGTTCATGTGTTCATTCACCTGTGCCACCATAGCTGGTGTGGCATCGACCTGTGTGGCATTTCGGTAGGGCATGGCCAAGTCCATTATGCCAGACCATGTCTGAGCCCACATGTTGCCTGAAAGGACAAAAGACTGTATTCATATTTCTAAGTCTAAGAGGTTACAGAGCAAGTCGCCCTCGCTTCTGCCTGTGTTTAACCAGGTGAGATTTGAGACTGTCAGTCTGTCCAGTCCCTGACTGTGAGGAACTGTCACACAGTATCAGATGCTTAGTGCCTCTGAAAGCAAATTAAATCCCGTCTAAATCCAAATATCAGAATAACAACAGGGTGTGGTCCCATGTTAAAGAGGGGGTTTGGTTGAAGTGTTGGAATCCTTTGGATTCCACTGTGAAACAGACTGAAGAGACCTTAGTCTCTACCCCTGAGAGCCTGGTGTATCCTGAACAGAAGGCAATGTGAAGCAGCAAATACTGTACATACACACAGTGTAATTTTGTTGTGTAATGTAATATACTGCAGCTATTTCTAAGAAATCAAAGTTACTTCTTGTTTCTTACCCAGCAAATGAGCAGGAGCCATTCAGATTGATATACTTAGGACCATACTTGTTGTACAGAGCCCTGCGAACATAGGCGTGTAAGTCTTGATAGAGTGGGCTCAGCTCCTTCCACAAAGCCTCCAGGTCTTCCTCAAAAGTAGGGGTTTCATACAAGGAGCGCCAGAAAGCCCCATTGTCAGAATGACCTATAGACAGTACCAGGGATAAACACAATCAACAGTGAGGTGTAAGTTCTAATGAAGGCAGTGCAGACTGAGTTTAATGCAAAAATGTCTTTGGACCAAAGCTGCTTCTGAAATAAAAATGATGCTGCCTTAAGTTTGTGGTTTCCCAGTGGGCAGGTTAACTAAGAACAATTACTTAATATAAAAAAAAAAACAAATATTGGAGGATCCGCTAACACCACAAACTCCTTTAAAAGAATAGTGAGAGTTTTAAGAAAATCTCTTATTCACTTTCTTACCAATAGTTATATATTTACATTACACCACATTCTTGCTGTATAGTAAATATGAAGCCTGCACAAGCAGCTGGTTATCTTAGATTAGCACAAAGACTAGAAATGGGGGGGGGCTGCCTTGCTATGCCCAAATATGAGAAAATCTGCTATGTTTCTCCCTTTTCCAGTCATTGTGCTCAGAGCAGTTTCATGTTTACTGTACAAAAAAAGAATGTTACCATTTTCATATTTACCTTTCAGTGAGACACCAAATAAGTATAATTCCAAGAATGTCAACATTGTGGCTAAAACAATCTACATTTTCCAGTAAGTGAAACTGTGCCAAAGGTGGTTCTTTGATTCTGCTGATTAAAACCGGTCAATTGGATGATCTCTGCCTTCAGAACAGTCCTGCTTCAAAGAAAAGAAAATCTAAAACCGCTTTCTTCTTCTCTACAAGTCTGACCTTCTTGTATTTTTCAAGCAAGACAGATCAGGGAGATGGTTACTCATTTGAAATCATTACACTGTACCATTGAGTGTGGCGGCTTTGTTAGCCAGCTCAACATATCTCTTGTAGTCCTGACGAACTGCTCTTCCAGCAGCGTCTCTCCATCCCTTCCAGGCAAACAACAGTTCATCATAATTCCTTGACTCTGCCATTATCTTCTGGAGATCTGAAACACAATGTAGTCATTTTTTACACCAACTTACCTTCTGTCTAGTGCACCATGCATGTAGTATCCATGATGTATTTATTTCAGTTTTTCTTGTAAAATGCTTAAAAGTAAGATGACAAATATTGCACCTATTACAGCTGGTACATTATTTCATAGTAGCTTAATGTAATTCAGGTATCCTGTTTATTTTATCTATATATTTGGAGCCAAACTCTTCATATTAGGATCAGCATATTTCATACCTGGATCCAGCGGGAGGCATTTCCCATCATCTCTGCAGACCTCAGCCACACTGTACTTGGTCTCCATGTTGGACAGGAGAGTGTTGTACTGAAAAGTTATAGGCATACACCAGGCATTAGACCCTGATTTTACAGCTGCTCAGATGGAGGGACAAGGGTACAAGGGTGTGAGAGAAACAGGTGACTTTGATGAAGGCGAGACTCCCTGAAACAATATGTTGACAGAGGCTTTCACATGGCTGCTGGTCTTTGAGTGCAGAAGCCTTGAATTGGCTGATTGTTGTTTGATGCCTACTTAACTGCTTTGTTCCTTTTTTTTTAAATGAGGCCTTTTCATTGTATTCATATTGTACTTTTTATTGAACTACACTAAGTGGAGTTTATTCTCAAACAGCAACACCAAATAACCTTTTTTTTTAAATGAGTGCACAAGTTTGCCAAGCAATGCTAATAGCAAAGGGACTTGAATCAAAATATAAATACAAACCATATGCATTAATGACTTTGACTAATTTAATTAGCTTCACTAGACAAAGCTTAGTGCTCGTAACCAGTGCTGCCCATTGATGAACTGGGACAGTATATTTGTAACTACCTGCAAGATCTAAATTTCTCTGTTACATTACTGCTTCTAGCTGCTATTTGTCCCATTAGCTAGATAATGCTACCTAGCTAGAGCTGCTAGATGTCTATCAGCATCAGCATGAACAAGTGTCATGAATTTGCCTTTAGTAAGAAATGTTCCTGATTTCAAGGAAGCTGTTCTTCCTGAATATTTTCCCCACATGAGCTGTCATTGTGAGAGCTTGTTCTCTGCAGTCCTGTTGTATGCAGTGTTGATTTTGTTTGTTTGTTTATGCCACTGTCTACACAGACTATTTTCTCACTGTGAGCAGCTATGTTATGAATAAATATACTGTATATCCTCCACACCTCTTCCAGCTCTGCTGTGGGCAGTGCAGCCCTCTCGATGTCGCTGAGTTTTTTGATGATGCGTTTGACCGAGGCGTCCTGGAAGTCAGTGGTGTCGTACTGACGGGCCTTCTTTCCATACTGCAGGGTATGTGCTGCCATCTCCAGGTTCTTCTCAAGCTAGAGAAGAATAATGAATATTCTTTTATATTTATATTTTTACATTATGTGTCTGTGGAAGCAGGGTAATTGGATGGATGGGTGGACAGGTTACAAGCTGCACAGATTGGTCCAAAGGCAATTAGGTAGATATAAACATGCACATATGAATTGATTAGTTACTCTTTGACTCAATGCATTATTGATTCATTGATTTATTTTATTAAGCAATCATTTTATTGATTTCCTGACATAATGCAAAAAAAAAAAAAAATCAACATAAGATGCAGCAGTCCTTCACGTTTGAATGATGACAGATGATGCTCAAGCAATGTTAGGCTGATCTCTGTGAAGTCGGTCAGTCAGAGGGTCTCACCATCTTCTGCTTATTATTTTCGGTGATGTCAGTGTTGTATGTCCAGGAGGCCTCAGTGTAGGCATTCCACACCACCTCAGCTGTCCTGTTGTACTCGTCCAGAAGCTTCTTTGCCTCAACCTCTTCTGTATTTTTGCCTGGAGAAGAACAACAAACTGGCTCAAATGCAGGTAGGCACTGTAAATTAAGATCTATGTATTTGTGTAAGAAAAACCACATTTAGCAAAATTATGATGCAAGAAATATTATTGTAAAGTGTAAACACCACAATTTGTTCTTTCTTTTGTTAGGCATTTGCTCTGCATGGAAAAGAAAATGGTACTTTTCTCTTTGAGTGCATGAAAATCTTCTACACATTCCAAGAATTTTTACCATAGTTTTTACTTCCTTCCGTTAATGTATTTCAGCTTCAGTTATTCTGCTTTGTTTACCAGTGATTTTGACTGGTACTGTAGGGTGTGCTCAAAGCCCTCTCTTACCAATATCTTCAGGGTAGCCCTCAGGGATTGGTGGGACCCACTTGAAGTCAGGCCATCCCAAGGTCTCATTCACATTTTGAACTTTCAGCCACTGAATAACAGGGTCAAAGTATTTCATCAGTGAGCTGGCATCCATCTTGTTGGTCCCTATAGCCTCCTGGAGCACAATAGGCCAAGGTGTGGAAGAACCAGCCTGAAGAACTTTCCTGCAGGAGGAAAAATGAAACACATTATTTTTACTGCTTCCATTAAGTATTATTCATGAACAGTGGTCCAATCACATACTTTAAAATCGCGCCTGCTTCTTTAGATTGATAGATGTCACATGTGTGCAAAGGACCCATGTGGTTGGCTGCCTTGCACAGTGCTTCATGAAACTGGAACTGCAGGATGAAGCTGACAAAATACCTGCAGGAAAAGGAAGTTTGTCATCTCTTTGGTATATCACATATATATTACTGCTTTTCAAACATTTCAAACAAGAATATCACCTTTTTAGACTTTACAAACAGGATGCATCATATGATAGGTCTAAAACAACTGATTAAAGGTTATTACAACTAAGTCAAATTTATTTTAAATAGGTTCCTGCTTTTTGAGGAAAACAAACATGTTTTAAACCTCAGTAAACCCACCACAAATATTTCTCATTCTCAAAACTGTTAAAGAAATCAGCTGGGGTCTGGGGGTATTCTTCTAAGGCCCCCTACCTTTGCAGCAGGCTTCCTGTTATTGCATTGTTTAAAACCACACTCAAATACCAGCAGTTCACTCCGGTTAACCCACCTGTTATGTTCATTTCTCAGGAACAGCAGTGATGTTCCTGGGTTAATTTTACCATTACTAACAATTTCAATCACTATTTAGTGCAATGGTGTTCTTTACCTCTCACAGATTATGGTTCAATAAGGATAATGAACTCCTTTTTCATAAAGACACCTCTTCTGTGTGCAGGGGGAGGTTGCAAATATGTGAAATGAACCATTTTCATTTTATATGTCGATTACACCTATTAAGCCAAGCAGAAGAGGCTTTATACCAATAAAATACTTTTAACTGTTGTTTTTAGATTTGTTAACTGTACAATGGGTCAATTTGCAACATAACAGGAGGGTTAACCCTTCTCTTACATAGTGTCAGTGGAACAGGATGTTACCTGATGTATGGCGTGTTTCCAGGGATATGGTATTTTGCTCCAGGATCAAAGTGATCCTCAGTACGTTTTGTGGGTGGGCAGATGCCTTGATATTTTGTTCTTTAAAAAGAAATAAGAAAGAATGATTTACAGCATACATCACTCAGCCTGTAGTCTCCCACTGTACCATTATAGAATATCAGTCACTCCATGAGCGTTACTCTAAATTTGCTATAATTGATATTTTTATGATAATTAATCCAATGAAAAGGTAAAAACAAGTTGACATCTTCCTGTCTAATTTTCAACAAAGAAGTGAATAAATGAACTCCCCAAAAACAAAGACCCACCTGAGATGCCACCACTGTGAGTTGTACTGGTCTGGAGGAGTGTGTCCACTGAAAACACTCCATCTCCACTGGTCTATGAGGTAGCCAAAAGGAAGGAAGGCTATCTTCTCCAGAGCCATCTTTAACAGGTAGTTGATATCGGTTTCTGGAGAAACACAATGCAATGTTCATTTCTTTTAAACGTGATGATATTATATCATTCATTTCTGACAGGTTATTTCACTGGTTTGGATATGATTTATTTCCATCTGTACCAGGGTCAGAGGTCACAGATTCCAGCAGCTTAATCTTGTGCAGATGTTTGGGTGTGGAAACAGAGAGAGATAAAACATCGCCAATAGCCTCGTGAAAACCAGGGTTGGCTCCGCGACGGAAGCCCACAGGCTGATCCTTGTACTGCAGGTAATATTGGATGTGTCCCATCTCATGGTGCACAGTGAAGAGCTGCTCCATTGTCACTGTGGTGCACTGTTTAATCCTAAACAGGATGAAACATCAATATAACTGGGTAGTAACTTTAGAAATGTGTGTATTAACGCCAAGTTAAGATGAGTTCCGTGTAGTCCTTCAATATTAGAGCCACTGGCTGCTCTGTATATTTAGCACATTTGAAACTTAGTATGACATTGACATTCTGACTTTCACATTTAAGGGTGTTTACATCCACATCTATTAGACTTTTCAACCCTTGTAAGAGTAAAAGGACTACATGAATGAGTCCCACACTTTAATGATATGGATGTAATGGCCTCTTGAATCCTTAAAACTGGACGTCAGCACTTCATCAACACTCCATTAAGTACTGTCTACCAACTTCTATGTTATATGTACAATTTTCACTATATTTTATCTGGTAACCGGCTTGTAACTTAGAAAGGAATTAAATGTAACTATAACTCCCTAAATAAATTAATTTTACCTGAAGTCTTTGCGATTGTAAAAGTCCCATGCAGATGCATGGCACACCACCTCTCGACCTTCAGGCTTCTCCAGCATGGATTTATCCCAGAACTCCTGAGGCATTGGTTCTAAACCCAGAGAAGTGAAGAACTCCTCAGCCACGCGAAACATGTGCGTGGCATTATAGCCCTGTAAAGAGGAAACGATCACAATAGTCACAGCTCACTACAGTGCTATCTCACCTAAAAACAGATTTATGAGATACACCTTTTATGCTGAGGTCGCTGTCTGCATGAGTTAAAGAATCTAGTCCAATTGCACAAAATATTTCCACCACACTTACTTGTTTCTCCATTTCACCAGTCACATCCAAGCTAGGCTTGTCAGGAAATGGGATCATCATATCATAAATATTATTCCAGGTCTGAGCCCACATGTTTCCTGAGGGTGAGGAAGAAAACACACTTAGGCAACAATTCTGATTTGTAATGGCATGCTCAACCCACAGGCACTGTAGGAAGTGCCTATATGTTCTTTCAGAGTAATGAGATAAGCACACAGAGCTACTTGCCATAGTGTGTCTGCATCTTAATATTCTGAAATTGTATTGTACCTGAAATGTGTGATTACGTCTTTGATGATTTTCCAGGTTTGTATTAAATAATGACTGTTTATGTTAGGGACGTTCTAAAAATTCCTGTTGATAAAACATGTAAAGCTCCACAGCCATCAAATTCTTTGACAGATCTTTTATTTGAGCAGTCTCTTTTGCCTCTTTCAGATCACTTCACTTTAATATAGTGGCAACATGGAGGAGCTGTACATGACAACACAAAAGCTGATCCAGGCATGAACAGACTTTACTCTGGTGGCTCCCTAGCATAAAGTCCGCGTGAAATCCAAGACAAAACAGCAGCGGATATTCTGGAGTATTCGCACCGAGCTAGCAGGCTTGTTGGTGATCACAATTAGTCCTATTATGTGACTGGAAAAATACAAAATAAACATAAACCAAACTGAGTATTTCCAGCAGGTAAGAACCCATCTGACACAGACTATCTCCTATGTGCTACATATGTGAACAGATGCCTCTGGACATAGTCTGAACACAATTTTGCAGACATTGTCTGGAGTTCATGTGTGAAAATGGCCATTTAGTGTTTTTAAAACTGACAAATGGTCCTACAGCTACTAAGAAATAAAACCCCAATAAAGAAAGGTTGTTGTCCTGCTCTGACTGTCCACTCTTTAGCAAAAAGAAATACATAACCTCATCTTTTCTGACCCCACCTCCATCCCTAGTAATTTTTGTACACTCCCTTATGCAATGCATATATTCATGGCTTTTGTGAGTAATAGTGAATCTTGGTAAGATAAAAATGTTGTACCTAGCAGGTGGGCAGGGATAGGTCCTTTGAGGTTGATGTACTTGGGACCATAGTGGTTGTAGAGCTGGCGTCGCACAAAGGCATGCAGGTGCTGGTAGAGGGGCTCAATGGTCCGGTAGAGTTTCTCTAAATCGTCCTCAAAGGTCGCAGTCTCATACCAGGAGCGCCAGTCTGCTCCCGTGTCAGCAAATCCTAAACAGGACAAAATGTTGTTCTTTCTCTCCACTTCATTCTTACCCTTTGTCATTTATACTCCTTATATTGTTCTTATTCTTTCATTATGTCATTCTCATTAAATGAATCATTTATTTCTAGCTCAGTTTCAAGGGTCAAGAAGAAGTTCTTACCATCAGCTTGAGAGGCTTTGTTGCTGAGCTCCACAAACTTAGGGTAGTACTGCTTGAGAGGAACACCTGAATTATTGTGCCAGCCTTCCCAGGCATACAGCAGCGTCTTATAGCTCGTGGAGTTGGCCATGATCTTTGTGAGCTCTGCGAAATGCATCCAACAGACCCACCGTCATATAAAAATGATGGACTATGAAAGGAAGCTGACCTAATCCAGAGGCCAGACAAAACATACAAAGTGTTTCCTAAAACAGTGAAGATGTATTGGTGTCATGCTCTTCGTGCTTCTGTAGAAATAATTGTTTATTTGTCTGTGTCGTACTGTGTGTGCTGGCAATTTGGTTACGTCTCACACTTCTAGGCTTCCCCTCCACATTGTTGTTCATTTCATTTTCATATTGTTTCTTTCAAAAAACTTCAAAACATTTGTGTCATACAATTCGGGCAATTGGGGCCTCAAACTGATCATTTATATTCAATTTGCTCACCAGGCTCCAGGTTCCAGCTTATGTTTGGCTCTGGCTGCACCTTAGCTGTAGAATAAATCTTGTCCATGGTGCTGAGAATGGTGTTATACTGCAGATAAGAAAAGAGAGTCATTGAGGCTCAAAGGAGGTCAGCAGTGATAACAGTGACAAAACTACAATCTCAAGGACTCAGCAAAATTTCTATTAGAAAATCTGGAACAGAAAACAAACCCTCTCTCTGTCTTGCTGGGGCAGGTTGGCAGCTCCCAGTATTTTGATCTTTTCCATCAGGTTTTTGTCTTTAGTGTCAGGGAGCCCGTTGAGGACCTCAGAAGTGAAGACCGTCTTGGCCTTTAGCCCCCAGGCTTCAGAAAAGGCCTGCTCTTCAAGGGATGCATTTACCTGAAGGTGAGAGGAGGCAAAAGTGAATGACAGCGATAAACTGGAGCCAGAGATCTAAAATTTAAAGACCTGCCCAGAGAGTTGTGTTGTGATGAGGTTGACTGGACATGAAGTGAACTGAGATAATGATAAAGGTGCAGACTTGGTTATTACAACCAAACTCAGTCCCTTTTTACACTGCTCACTTTAAACTCATGTTCTTTAATATTATCAGTCTATTGTTACACACGCTATTGTTTGTGTAGTACTGCTTTGGCATTAATCTGTGCTGCGGTGCAGTTTGCCTTTCATTTACCTGTAAATGTACCATTTTGCACAGACATTCATGGGCCCCCCCAGAAGATGAATTTTAATGATCACCCAGTGCTATTATGAAGTTGACATTTTTGGTTTTTAGTGAAACAACAACAACAACAGATTGGTGGTGATAAAATTTGGTACAGACATTCAGAGAATGCCCAGAGAATAAACCCTAATGATGTAAATTTCCAATGACCTTTTCTCTAGTGCTGTCCACAGGCCAGAGTTTCACTTTTCTAGTGAAATGTCTGTATACCCACAAGATGGATTAGAACAAATTAGAACTTTTCATCTGACACCATCATTAGGTCATCATTTCACTTTGTCCAGTACTTTGTATTCCCTACCTAATAGTCTGGGATCAATAAAGTGCTAAAGGATTTTTGATGCCTTTGTTATGGTCTCACTGAATCTCAGGAACTCTTCATTATGCCACTTGAAATGTCACTGACACAGGCGTCCGCAGCATAAATGACTGGAAAAATGACTGGCGTCATGGCTGCTGTGGAACACTGCATGGGCTGTATATGTGCTGAACCTTAATTTGCTCCTACTCAAAATGATATGTGTCACTATGTGCATACTGTCCTTTATTGTTCCCGTGGTCTTCACGTCACAACCCTTTACTATGTGCCATAGTAAAGTTGTGCCCTTTAAAATTTAGAAGATATTTTGCCCATGCTAATATTGACATAACCAGAGCAGTGGATTAGAATCAACAAGTCATTAGTTCACATACATCCTGAAAAGACCTGATAGAACAGCAGCTTCATTTCAGCAGTGTTTTCATTGAAGTTTATCACTGTAATAACAGGCTGCAGAAGGGAAAACTGGTGACAGCAAGCTGAAACATTATGCTCCTTTATGCTTTTCCTTCCCCAGTCTTTTTTTCCAGCCTGCCTAGATAAGAGGGTGGTAACAATAGAATATTTCTTTGTCCAACTGAATACTGATAATCCCTCCTTGCTGCCCCATCAGGTGAAGCCCAGTGCTCTGATTTACTTTGATATCATCTTTGAATTGTCCAGAACAAAAAAATGTGCTCAACAACCAAAAACCTGCTCATCTTTCACCCTAGATTCTAGACACATTCTGGGCAGCAGCACACATTGTGCAGCATGTGGTGTGGGCCATATCTACACCTCTTCAGTGAGTTCCCAAAGCCTCAATAGTGCAGTAAAATGCTGTTGTGACAGCTGTCCAAGCACACACAGAGAAAAAAGGTCCTAGAGGCTTTAGACTGAGTATGTTTCTTTCACAATTTGCTTTCATGCATTTTTTAATATCCTCTACAATTCCATTTGTTCCTGCATAGCTGTACTTCTCTCCTGTTTTATTGCCGGTATCTGCTCTCTCTCTACTTTAGTGTTAATATAAATGTTCTTCAGGCATATGGTCAGGAGAAACTGCAAAACCATTGTAATCTGCTAATAATGTCATGTTTCATTGCTTCATCTAAAAAAAAAAAACATTTTGAAATTCCTGTGAAAGTGAGGCCTTTTATTGGCTGCTATTATTGGCGCAAAAAGACTGTTAGACGACATAAAACTGCATCCTGTAGCAGGTGTTTCCCTCAGGAGAAACTCTCTTCAACAAATAAATAGCCAAATAGCACACAAGACCCCCTAGAAATTCATTCAAAATGTGAAGGTGTTTGCACAGCAGGCATTCAGATGTTTTATATTTCTTGTAACACACAAGCTGAGTTGGTTGCATTTGGAGGAAACTGGGCATTTAATTCTGGAGAGAGATTAATAGAAACCCTTGACCAAGCATGCAACTGTGTTGACAAGGTGCCAGCACTGAGCTAAACGAGTCAGTTTCACACCAACATGAGAGAAATATTCAGCTAACACACCACCCTCTAACATCAAGACAGGAGGTTGTCCTACCTGGCGCTCAGAGTTGTAGTCTGTTAAGTTGGTGTTGTAGTCCCAGCTGGCAGAGACACTGGAGAATAACACTTCTTCAGAAGTGCTGTTGTAGTCGTCGAGGAATCTCAGCGCATCATCCACAGTGTTTTTATATTCCCCTGGCAGCCAGCTTTCTGGCAGAGCCACAGACAGACAGAGTGCTGGCAGCAGCAGCAGCACAGAGCACAAAAACCTGTCCACACCAGTGGCCATGGCTAGCTCCCACAAAAGAAAGGGTGGAAGAGAATAAGTGTAAAGTGGAAGAGTTGGGAGGGAGGGCTAAAAATACACTTGCTCGAATGAAGTGAGAGTACACCTTCCCCTTGGAGCTGTTGTTTCATCCACTCTACCTCCTTAGCCTCCCAGCCTGGCTGCTGGTGAAATGCACAGAAGCTAAAGCGAGCTTCTTTTTAAGTGCCACTTTAACCCAGCCCACACTTCTCTGCAGCCTTCCCTCTTATCACTTTACAGAACTGGACATATTTCCCCCAATTTTTCTCTCTCCCTTCCCGTTCTTTTTTACTAGCTTGCCAGGTTTCAGATGATTGGCAGTACCTTTGATCAGATCCAAGTTTCTACAACTATTGAAGAAGAGAGATGAGATATGACACCCTGGCTCCGTGTGCCTGCCTGTAAAGTCTCAGTAACCAGCAGTGAAGTGTTTGGGAGGGACTCCACATACTTTGCTCTCAGTTCCCTCCTTCAGCTTAGTGACACCAAAGAGAGGTGGAGTTACAAATACAGGGGAAATGAAAGAGAGAGAGAGAGGGGATAGGGGAATGAAGTGGGAGGGGGTGACAGGAGTGTAGACTGAGGGTTGAAAAGGCTGAAAGAGTTTCACAAAAATGGAGGCAGAAAGCAGTGAGAGGAGCTCACCTTGTATCGTCAGACAGAACCTGGCTTTATACAGAATATTTTTCTCTAATTACAGGAAAGAAAACATGCACTGTATATCAAATTATTACAAATGGAAACATTTTCTCACGTGGTCATCCCTTTACTGTTTTCCACACTAAATTTATCCCAGTAGTGAGCAAATGTTTGCAACACCCCCCGAAAAAATATTTCAAAGGGAATGTCTTTTCTAGTTGACTGTTGAGTTACAGCTATCGAGCAATGGAGGGAATTTCCTGTTGTTGCCATTTTTGGCATCTTCATAGTAAAAATTCAAAGTGTTTAGTCCCACTATACTGTAGCTTGTATTCAGCCAGATGTCAGTGCAAAGCACGACTTATTTCACTGTCTGACCGTGCACTGCACATTTAGATCAGAGTAAGATGGCAACTGTTGCAAGAGTGTGTGTTTCCTTCAATCATAAATGTGGTAGAACTATGACTACTACAGTTTTTAATCATCGAGTTGTGACTTACCCTGAGTAAGCCTGATGTCACTGATCTCACTTCCCCAGGCTACTCTCATATTCATCACCCAAAGGCCCAAGCACGAGGTGATGGTGTTGCTGTAATTTATACAAATGATCTCATGACTTATGATTATTTTAGACACACTGTAGTTGAATCATTAGGTCTTCAATGACCAATGAATGGCAACACCCATGTTAAAGGACCCTCTGGACTTACTTCTATCCTAAGGACTGTTTGTATTCAACTTTGTGACAGACATTTTTCATCTATTTGATCACATGGCAATAATTTTTATATTAAAATACAACATACCCTCTCCCATTGGTCCTCTTGTATCCTAAAGTCCCTCAGTTGTTTGTGTTACTTGCATATCAAACTAAGTCTTACGAGTATAACATTTACCTGTGTATCTGTTTACAGTCAGTCATCCTTCCTGTGTTGTGTTGTGACTCTGCCACATCATCCACGTTATTGTGGTTGCATGAGTTAGTTACGTTTTCTGTGAAGAAGTGCTCACCTGAGTCAGCCACTTCGTCTGTGTTGTTGTGTTACAGTCTGTCTCTTTATTTTCGTCCATGTACTGTAGTATTTTCCTTAGCCAGCTGTGTTTCTGGTATGGAAGTATTTTTCCGCCAGCATAGTTATCTACCTATGTTTTTGTTTCTTTAGCCAGCTTTATTACCTGCATTACACTACTTACCTGGGCCAGCCATTATACCTACCATTGTCTTCCCTGCGCTGTTGCATTTTCGTGAACCATCATCAACGCACCAAATGAGAGAATATCTTTTGGAAGAATGATTTTCATTCCTCCAGTAAAATTCAGAGACTTGCAGAATCAATGCCAAGGTGCACTGAAGCTGTTTTGGCAGTTCATGGCCCAGCACCTTACCAAGACGCTTTGTGTTGCTTTGTCCTTCCTTATGTCACTCATTTCAGTTTAATATATTAAAATTTAAGTGAATAGTCTGAGAGTAACTGAGCAAACTGCAAAAAATAAGGGGGAAAGAAGTCTATTCAGTTGTCCTTGCCATTGCTTGAGGTAATAAAAAACATGTGTGTACTTTCTTGCCTTAATATTGTTTAAAAACCCCATGTTTTCTTGATTGCAAATTGAATTGTATCATCCTTCTGGAATTCTCTGACAAAGCTGTTTGAGCAAGGTTTTAGTACACAGAACATTAAGGACAGATTGCATGAAAGAGAATGAAGTCTCATACTGTATATGATCAATTATCACAGCAGGTTGTCATGTACAGCGCCGAGAGCAAAACATAATATTTCTGGCAATCTTAAACTTATATTAACTAATTTTGTGGGGGCAACAAAGACAAGCTGTAAAAACAAAACTGATATGACAAACATGTTCGCAAACAGCCCCAGGAGCAAACAGTCAATAGCAAGAATTTGAATTCAGCTACCCGAAAAATTAGATTCCAGTAATCACTCTCATCTGTTGTAGCTTTGAATGATGCTATAAGAGCAGTGAAAGAGAACTAAAGCATTAAAATATGCTTCAACACTTTAGGGATGAGAGGAACTACAGATCCAAATGATAATTCACTATGGGTTTGTCACTACAAGCTACCTCTTTCACATTACTTTCAATCCACGGTTTCTAAACTGAGTGCAGCCACATTTGTCTTTGCAATACAAAGAAGCTGTGACACGTTGTTATTTAGTATAGTAGCAAACAGACATTGTGGTTTTAATGTGACAGATGTGCTTCTGCATTTTATGCTGAACTCTACAAAGCTGCACGCAATCATGTGACCTGGTTCAGTGCACCATTTCTACAGGTGCATTTGCTGCAACAAACACTTGTATATTCAGTCAGAGAGAGTGAGTCTATTGAAAGATGCCGCTAGTTAAGCACAAACAAAACAGGCCTTTCTGAAGTTTTACTGACTTCTTGTCACATTTACACCGTAATCCCTGTCACGTTTTAGGATACCATGTTAACACATGGTTAAAGTCCATCAGCTCCTTCTGCTGCTACAAAACAACTGATCCTTCACTTCACCCTGGACCCTGACTAGGGACTTGTTGGTTCAGATTACTGAACTTGGTTACACTTTGAACAAGAACATAAACCACTGTAAGATAACAGAAAACATGGCCTGGCTTGTTTCTTCTTGAGGAATAAAATAAAATGAAACTTTTAACAAATACGACAAAAGTATTTAAATGTATTTATACGTTACACAGTCTATTTTAGTTTTTTTCGCTGTTGTTTAAACTAGTAATGTGAACTGTTGAGTTTGAAAACCCTGCCAGTTAGATGAGAAGAAATCTGAAGCTTTTTGAGCGTGATTGAGCACCGTAACAAATCCAGGGAGTGCATCTTTAAACTGAGGCCATTCAAAATGAAGCAGTGACTGAATGAGGTTATAAAACAATCAGATGTTCACACAAGTGATCTTATATTGCACAAGGTCAGAATCATAAATTTTAATGACTTGAGCAACTGAAAAACATTGTGAACTTCTAAGAGTTCAGTTTGAATTAAATGTATGGATGGACTCATGTTCTTATCAATCCTCACATCCACAGCCTTCAAACATGTTGATTAATAATAGCTGGTGATAGTCATGAGTCTAGCAACGTGTCTATTACCTTGATATTCACAAATTAATATTTATTTCTTTATGTGTCCAATAAAAGCTTATCATGTCTTTAATGGCACCAAGTAAAATGTAATTAAAATGATGCTGACATTTTACTTTTGAGGTAAATGAACTCCAAAGAACTTGATCTAGCTTACACAAGGTGTAGCCTTGAGCCTATTATGTTTCCTTGCAATACACTGATTATTAACTTGAACTTTATCCATTGAAATAAGTTAATTAACACTGAAATGATGTCTGTGTGGCTGAACCCTCAGTTTAATTAGAAATGAAATGTACTTGGTGTTCTGTGCCATTATGACCTCACAGTGAAACGGGGATAGCTATTACATGAGTAGTTCACAGTGAGTTCAGCTCTGACACACTGGTGGGTAGAGCAGTCGTCTCCCAACTGGAAGATTAAAGGTTTGAATCTCAGTGCCTGCAGTCCACATGTTGAAGTGTCCTTGGGCAAGACACTGAACCCCCAAGTTGCCCCTGACGGCGGTGCGTATGCACGCAGCGGCCCGGGGCCCTCGGCTCCAAACTAAATTTCGTTGTACATGTCACAATGTTACAATGGCAAGAAAAAAAAGCTGCTTCTTAACATCAGACCACACTGCAGATGACCCTTTGTACTGAGATCTGCCTATGTCATTAGAAGTCATTTATTAAGTTATATAGCAAATATCTTATAAGAGATAACAAATATCTCAGCGATATCTCCAGTGTTGATAAAAACAAATGTTCAACTGGCTACTTACTGGCATCCTGTCTGGGCTGATAGACACAAATGGCGGGCATGTGAATGAGTTTTTTCACATCCTTATACTTGCAGCTGATGATGCCTTGTTGTGACAGGTGAAGTGAGAACCCACCTATATAAAGTATGAAGAAAGATATTTTAAGACAAATTATTTTCATACCTAAATCACAAGATCTTTGTTCTGTTTTTCACAGCCAGCAGCTCATGAACTGATAAAAGTTTGAGAAAAGGGCAGCAGGTGCCTGAAGACTAATTGGAATTGAGTTCACAGTTTTGTGTACCCAGAGACAATAAACCTGTCCGCAAAGATTGCTAACTGCTGCCGCGCGTGTGTGTATGTTTGTGTGTGTGTGCACGCACCCTGACAGTGTAGTTTTCCTGCAGTCTCTGGCACAATAATTGAATTTGGCTTTTCCTTTAATGGAAGTCTGTGGAGTGTGGAGAAGCTGTGATAACCCAGAACATCCAATCTCCACAAACAGGCATATGTTGCACACCATTGGACATGGATGCTGTGAGGCGGTGTGTGTGGGTGTATACTATAGGATATACAGAAAGATGGCATGTTACAATTGGCAGTTTCTTCACCCATGCACTGAATTATTTCTGGTACTACTATTGTTCGAATTTAATCCATATTCATCCTGTACAATGCATGTGCTCTGTTTTGCAAAATCCTTAATATACAAGGTGATAATGGGGGTGGATTTTGAGGATTTAATAAACTGCCAACAAGCTGCTGATCCAAAGAACAATTCACAGGAGGTGACCACTGGGGGTTTGTGTTGAGTCTCCGTAGCTGATAACAGGCTTAACAGAATTTATTCAACTGTACCTGACCTTTAAAAAGAACCTTACTGTATCAGTGTATACAGTGTTGAATTAATCAATGTTACGCCTGAATTAGAATGTAGGAACTTCCTTTTTTGCAATCATTACAGTATCAAACAGGAATTACTGTTGTGTCTTCTTCTTTACTAATGTTCCCAGACCTTATGAAGATTTTCAGTAAATTAAGATCCAGTTCAGTATGGATATAAAAGGTATCCTGTGCAGTTCTTTAGCTCTGTTATCACTGTGGATCAGTATTTTGATCAACATTTGGCAAGATGGTGCACATGCATTCTTGGGAGCATGTGGACTGATTGACTGTTGGAGGTAATAATCTACCAACAAAGGTAGTGAAGAAGAGTCCTAGCAGACCTCAATGATACAGGCTATGTTTTGGTGAAAAAAACTCCACAAGCCACTTTTAAGTACTTCACATAGATACATACATACTTCACATGCACATTATGGTTTACCCACATAGGTGTTTTTGACTTGTCATAATAGGAAAAGCACAGGTGTTTCTAGAAACATTAAAAATTCAAGTGTCCCAACAGTGAGTCAACATGCACAATATGCCCTTGAAATGAGGCGGCTAAATGGCTGCTGGGGGGGGCCCATGATGCTCTGAGTGCCTCTCCTCTCTCTTCATGCCGTTCTCCACTGTTGATTTTAGTCTATGTATGGGGAGTGTTGAAAATGCTCTTAATATAAAAAATGATTAACCTTATCCTTTTAGACAGTTGTTTCCTCCAGGCTGTATTTACTGTCTATTGGACAAATCTCTGGAAATATCATTACTTTGGCTTCCAGCAATAGTCAGTGATTTTTTTTAAATCTAGGATATTTCTGCTGTCAAAGTAGACATAGCAGACTGTTGTTTGACAACTCTGCTCATTTGATACTTCTTGTGAATGAAAGAAAATAATTTCTACAGCACCTACTAAGGGCGAAGTCCAGTGGCACAACCAACAAATCCCAGCTGGTTTTACACTTGGATGGTTCAGTTAGGGAAACAAGGTTGCGCTGTCTTGACTGATATGCACGTTGGGTTTCAGTGTAATTGATCTGTGGGGATAGGGGCCTTTTCAGTAATCCAGGGTCAACATAATGAATTTGTTTATTACTGAAGACTTTAAACAAATGTGACCTCTCTAGTACTGAGACACTCAAAAGGACAAGAAGCAAGAAACCAAGCAATTATTATATAACTGTGGAATAATGATCATAGGGGTAATTGAGGGAATTGCAAAATCTTGGCTGCACAGTTGATGCTCAGAAAGAAAATGACAATGTCTGATTTCAGTGAGAGGACAGGAAAGTAAGTGTATGTTCTCCCTGTCCTCTGCTGCAGTATGTGCCTGTCCGCTATGTTATGTCATCAGGCCATGTTCATTACTTGGGCGTGATGTGTTGAATCATGCTAGTCTCTAAGTGAGCATATATTTCCATTTGCATTAAACCATGCAGAAGGCGAGGGACACAATTACAGCAATTTGTCATTAACAACACCCGAGAAAGTTATTGCGGCATAATACAACACACCACATAAAGGATTTATATACTGCCATACATAAAATTAATCTTTATTACAATAAATATGGGGTTTATTCCGCTAAAGGAAATGGCAGCAAGAAAGCAGTAATTATAACAGTAATCAGTGTTAACGCTCTTGCAAATCGGTTTTATAATCTTGCCACCCAGTCCAGTGATAACAAATTACCTGGGAGTTACATTTTTAAAGATATTAGCACAATATGATTCTAGATGGTACTGACCACAGAGTAAAAAAACAGTTCAATAAAGAAATAAAGTCATCTGTAATCTCTTATCAGAAGACAAAGCTCTTGATGATTCTGTAACACCAGCTACAGCAAACAGATAATGGCAGAAACCCACTATAACTGTCAATTATATCCAATCTGACACAACATTTGGAGGACATTCAAAGTCTGAGTGAGCTGTTATCAGGTCTTTATAAAGAACATTAGCTAATAATTTTCTTGGTGCTCATTTTAACATCACAGCTGTATAAGATTAGTAGGACATGGTTCCCACTCTGACAGTATAATATTAAGTAGATATAATTTTCATTGTTTCAGTTAATGAATTAGCATGCTAATACAGTGCCTTGCGAAAGTATTCGGCCCCCTTGAACTTTGCGACCTTTTGCCACATTTCAGGCTTCAAACATAAAGATATAAAACTGTAATGTTTTGTGAAGAATCAACAACAAGTGGGACACAATCATGAAGTGGAACAAAATTTATTGGATATTTCAAACTTTTTTAACAAATAAAAAACTGAAAAATTGGGCGTGCAAAATTATTCAGCCCCTTTACTTTCAGTGCAGCAAACTCTCTCCAGAAGTTCAGTGAGGATCTCTGAATGATCCAATGTTGACCTAAATGACTAATGATGATAAATAGAATCCACCTGTGTGGAATCAAGTCTCCATATAAATGCACCTGCACTGTGATAGTCTCAGAGGTCCGTTTAAAGCGCAGAGAGCATCATGAAGAACAAGGAACACACCAGGCAGGTCCGAGATACTGTTGTGGAGAAGTTTAACGCCGGATTTGGATACAAAAAGATTTCCCAAGCTAAACATCCCAAGGAGCACTGTGCAAGCAATAATATTGAAATGGAAGGAGTATCAGACCACTGCAAACCTACCAAGACCTGGCCGTTTTGGTCATAAATCAGCTTCACAAATTGAAAATTTGTCCCGATGATGGAGCTTGTGAAAAAGTTATAATAATTCATCCCATGGCTGTGGAGACATTTCACTCAAGACTACAAATGTCAACCTGACGGTGATGCTAAAGGGCAAACTCGGGGGATAACCACATATAATATATAGATACTGGGATATTTCACTAAGTGAAAACATATCTTGCTGGTGGTGCTAGCAGAAATTTCCACAGCTCACCAGAATTTCTTCAGTTTATCTTCTCTGCACCATGAATATCTGTACCAGCTTTAATGGCAAACAATTGGGACTTTTCTGCTAAAAAAAAAGAAAATATTAACATGTTAGCACAATAGGCTAAGTCGGGGAACCCATGCTTGGGGGTCATGAATGCCAGGTCAAAGTTTTATGGCATCCATTCAGTAATTGCTGATATACAGTGCCTTGCGAAAGTATTCGGCCCCCTTGAACTTTGCGACCTTTTGCCACATTTCAGGCTTCAAACATAAAGATATAAAACTGTAATTTTTTGTGAAGAATCAACAACAAGTGGGACACAACCATGAAGTGGAACGAAATTTATTGGATATTTCAAACTTTTTTAACAAATAAAAAAACTGAAAAATTGGGCGTGCAAAATTATTCAGCCCCCTTAAGTTAATACTTTGTAGCGCCACCTTTTGCTGCGATTACAGCTGTAAGTCGCTTGGGGTATGTCTCTAACAGTTTTGCACATCAAGAGACTGAAATTTTTGCCCATTCCGCCTTGCAAAACAGCTCGAGCTCAGTGAGATTGGATGGAGAGCGTTTGTGAACAGCAGTTTTCAGTTCTTCCCACAGATTCTCGATTGGATTCAGGTCTGGACTTTGACTTGGCCATTCTACCTGAATGGAGTTGAGGATAGTGTTATGATATTGTTGTGACATACAAGCAGTCAGGTGTCTTGTCATGTGACTGCCAACAACTCTGGGCCATAACATGATAAATTGTTATTGTGGCTTGTCATGACTCATCTGAGTGAGTGCCAGACGTTGTGAAAGTGTCCTGATAAAATGAACTATGGCAAAGTATGTGCACCTTTACCAGTCAGGTGTGTTGTAACACAAATCTCTTTAAAAAATTGGAATCGGGCCACTGTGAACTTCTGCATATGCACAAACACAGTCAATGGTGTTAAGATGTTTATACTAGATATCCTGGGCACTACAATATATTGTAATACTCTCCGTTATATATTGACTTGGATGCGCATTTTGGACGTATGTAGACCTTAACTGTGTTCCACCTACATCTGGTCCAGCTGATACTTTACCAGAAAGCTCTTCACTGCAGAAGCAGCAGCACACTGTGAAGTCCCTTATGCATTAGCTGATCAACAGACTGGGAGGCTTTCTCTAGACTGCACTGACCTCTAGTGGGATTTTTATAAATAACACAAGTGGTGTCCCACACTACCCTGACATCCTATAGGTTATACAGTCATGATGTCGTATTATAGTTTAGTTATTTAGACTATGTAAAACGGTAGCCCTTACCAATATACACTAATGTATAACAAGACAGCCTACATCATCTGTCCTTAACAGACGGATGGTAGCCTATTGGTGTTCGGCAGTCTCAGTCTCAGTCTACCATGCCCTGCCCCGGCACCAGCCGCTGGTGAGACTCTGTAGCCTGCGGTAATTCCGCGTTCACCGCCCTCCTCTCCTCCTCCTCCTCCCCCCCTCGACTTTTCCAGCAGCCTCAGGTAGCGTGATCTATCAATCGGATTTGAAAGGTTTTGTTACAAGAATCCATGGGAGAAATGACGGAGCAACAGAACTTTTCTGAAGTTATTTCTCAGATATTACAAGCGTCTTCAGCCACCAGGAAGGACCTTGTTGATAACCACAGCAACCTCCTCAAAGTCGCAGATTATTGCGAAAACAATTATCTTAAGGTGCGTAATGCTCATAAAAGTATCACAACTGCTTTAACATCATAACTTTATGATAGTGTAGTTATAGCTGTCTGTGGGGGGGGAAGCTTTTGAAGCATATTACAAACTGCATAATCCGTTCTTTTTTAAACTTCTGCAGGCAGAGGATCCGAGCAAGGCTGTTGAAGAAGCCAGAGCTCTGACTATTCAGGCTCTGGCCAGTGTGAGCTACCAGATCAACAGTCTGGCCAGGAGCCTGCTGAAGCTGCTGGATGTGCAGGCTGTGCAGATCAAACATATGGAGTCCTCTGTCAGCCTGCTCTCGCTGGTGAGCAGCACAAGTCACCTAAACCATACCAGAGTTCTAGGAATGTATGTATGTGACCCCTGCATGTCTTATCCTGAAGAATGTCACAACCAGGGCTGATGAATGTTTGAACTGTTCTGTTTGTTTCCTTTGGTGTATTTCATTTCCCAAAGTCATTCTCACCTATTATTCTGGCGTTTTGTTTTTAATTTCTTAAAAGTAGTTTTAACTAAGGCAACACTTCATCTGAAAGATGAATATTATTACACCTTTTCTGTGCAATCTTGAACATTGGCTATATTTTTTCATTTGTGGTTCATGTGGTCATGCCATCCCTTTAAGCTATATGGAGTTAGTTTGCTTGCTCCATGAAGACTACTTTTTTGTAGCACATTGATAATAGAGGCACTCTCAAGGGATTGAATGAAATGAGTTCCTGTGTATTTTTGACTGAGGCTGTCCACACGGTGCTCTGGTCTAGGCTGCAGCTATCCACTTGGAGAGGGTAGCCAGGACTGGGATTGGTGCTTTTACTACTCCCAAAAACAGGAGCTGTTCCAAGCCTATGACCCCACCACCTTCAGGCATTGAGCCAGAAGAAAGCTACTCAAGAGTCCCAATATCATACTCCACCCTGGATTCCATTGGACATGGCATTCAGGTGAATTAAAAACTACACCGTAAAGAGTTTGAGTCAACATACATTAGACTGAGGCTGTGTAGCACACTACATTCCCTTCTCTATATCGGAGCCCCCACATGGCTGACTGTGGTGGAGAGACGTGCTAGACCATCATTATTTTCATTTGTCTTCTCTGCACAGGCCACAGAGGAGTTGTCCAGAAAGAGAGCAGACAGCATACAGAGCACCACAGACACCTCTGTGTATGTAGACACCGTCTTCCTTTGCCCTTTTTATAGCAACACTGTAATTGTAATTAGAAATGCTGATTATTATAATAGCTATGGGGATAAACTCTATAATTGCTTGTACAATTTGTGATCATATCTGAAAGGTTTCTGCAGCATGGATAAAAGAAGTTGTTTTACGTTTTGGGAAATACTGTTACTCCAGCTTCCTCCCACAGTCCAAAGACATGCAATTTAGGCTGATTGACGACTCTAAATTGCCCGTAGGAGTGATTGTGAGCTTGTGTGGTTGTCTGTCTACATGTCAGCCCTGCGATAGACTGTCGACATATCCAGGGTGGACCCCACCTCTCACCCAGTGCCAGCTTGGATTGGCTCTGGCCCCCTGCAACCCTGTTCAGGAATAAGTGGTATAAATAATGGATGGAAATATGGTCATTCATATTTATGTTTAGATAACAGTATAACAGACTGAGGAACAGACAATAGAGATGTATGTATTCTCATTTCTCACCAAGAAAGCACATAACCGGTAGGCCTAGAGTATTTCCCAAAGTGTTGAACAATTCCTTGAACTGTTTTTTAGTAGTTTGTCGTTATATGCATCCTAAAAATGTTATTCTTGCTTTTTGCATAAATTAAACAAGCAAGATATGATGTGCAGCTATAATATGAGCTTTAGAGGTGTTATAGGTGCACTTTGTTGCCTCTGGACAGAGTCAGGATTGCTGTTTCCCCATGTTTCCAGTCTTCATGCTAAGCTGAGCTAACAGCTACTGGCTATAGTTTAATAAAATAGTATTTATTGTACAGACATGGAACTGGTATCAATCTTTTCATCTAACTCTCAGCAAGAGAGTGAAAAAAAATGATCTCCCACCATGTTGATTTACTCCTCTATGAAGCTTCATTTGCATCAGTCTCAGGAGGTCATTACTGCTCATACTAGTGGAAGCTTCTGTTTTCTTTTTGTCTCGTATGCAGATCCCATCTGGGCATTGCTGTGCCTCTGCCATCTGTCCCCACCTTGCAAACTGTCACCAGCCCCAGCAACTACAGCCTGTCTTCCCCTTCTCCTGCTGATCTGGACATCAGTATGCCTCCTCCTTCTCCATCACCTACCCCTTCCTCCATTTACACTGGCCTCCCACCTCCACCCTCAATGATCTCCCCCTCATATCCCTCCATACCTCCCCCTCTAACAACTATCAGCCTGTCAAGCACCATCTGCCTGCCTCCACCTCCAGATGCAGCAGGAGATGCCCCTGCTCCACCTCCACCCCCATCTCCATCATGGTCAGAAGATGGTTTTTTTCCTGCTCTTCCTCCACCGCCACTTGTATCAGGAGTTGATTTTCTTCTTCCTCCTCCTCCCCCAGCGCCAATATCAGGAGCTACCCTACCTCCTCCCCCACCACCA